CATCTCGACACAGAACTTATTCTTTTGCTCTGTTCGTTGTTTTTGCTGCAAACATTGCGGAGTGGTTTAGTCATTCGAGCAAACTAATTCGATGTCATTATTGACGTTATCATCACTTTTGCACTCTAGTTTTTGTCTGCATCAATGCAGCACATTTGCCATGCAATTGGCAATAAAAACATTTGCTTACGCTGCGTTTTAAGTGAGCCAAACCACTTGCGACATCATTCGTTTCAATGATGATGCGACGCACATCGTTACGCCACATTTCGAATTAATAATTTAATGCAGTCTCAATGGTGAAGTAAACAAATAAATTCCACGAGATTTTGTTGACGGCCAAAATCACTCCAGACACACAAACTTAAGCCATTTTACTTGTAAAATGCTGTTGTTTATTGAATATATATCGAATTATGTCTAATTAATTCACGCTCAACGGCTTAGACATTACTTAAGTGGATTTTACAGTGTAATGCCTTGTAATTTGGTGCACCGTAATGCCTTGAACTCATCGGAATAAGACGGTTGAAATGATTTTGATTTGAGGGTTCAATGAATCTGAAACCGCGAGACAGATACTCAGTCGCTGAGAGGTACAGAAATCTTATGAAAGATTTTATCGAAGTTCAATGATTGCTCATTGGCAATATTTTGCTAATTTGCCAATAGTTCGATAAGAGATTTACATTCATTGAACTGAAAAATGGGCTTTGACTACGCAACAAAAGCAACGAATTGCACGTAATTGAAAACATTGGTATAAAATCAATGAGAATTTCTAATTTTGAGAATATAAACGATTACATCACAATGATATGATGGAAAAACACGGAGATGAAAGATTTCTATATATTTATCGATTATCGATTCTTTCTAAAGAGAAGCAGATCTGTTATGTAAGAGTTCAATATTGTAATGCACAACATAGCATAGTCTTTAACTGCACATGTATAGGGTCCGTATATGCATATATGATTTTGATTGGTATTTCAAACTTCTCACCAGCCAGAGGAGAAAAGAAAAGAAAAAAATGGTTTTCCACCAGATACACAATATACCTACATTGTACAGTGTACAGTGTACATTGTACACGCAAATCTTGTTGAATTCGAATTATTTATTCATTAAAAACATTTGTTTCAACATTAAATTTAATGAATTCTTTCACTAAACTAACTTCATGGAGTAGCATGAATTGTCTGCATTTTGCAGTAGTATGAATTCAACAGTTTTCATGTAGTGCATTCATTTTTGACCACTGAAAGTGATTCATACCTGTGGAAGTGAAAGTTTTTTTTTTACTTTCGATGAAAAAAACACTAGAAGTCAACTTTCGTTGCCATTGGCGATCGGTTAATGTGATTATTTAACAAGAGAGATACGGGAAAGAGGTAAATTGAAAAAAAGGCAAAGTAAAAACGGAATAAGACAAACACGGGAGAAAAGGGTGAGGAAAGAAGAGAAAATGGGATGAAAAATGAAAAAAAAAAAACCGAAGAAAAACGAGTAAAAGGAGAGAAAACAGAAAACAGAAAAAAGAGAAAAAGAAAAAAAGCGAAAAAAAACAAAGAAAAAATAGGGGAAGAAAAACCTGACGAAATTCCAGCGAACAGAAAAGATGAAAATAAAATCGAGTAAAACCGATTTTCAATCCGAAATGGTTTTTCAATTGAAGTAAAAATGCCACTTAAAAACTTAGCTTGAGTGCTTGACTCACTTCATGAAAATTCATTCCATTTTGCATGCTTTAAATCCGAATATTAACTCTTCAACAATGGGAATTCATTTCGGAATCGGGTTTTAAAAGAGAATATTTTCTCCGTAATCCATTAGATCCATTAAAAGCAGATAATTCGTGTCCATTAATTAGAAGTAAAATCGTGAATTTGTGTGCAAATATTAGAGCTCACTTAAAAGTTGAACAAACAGTTTTATCTAGTGCATTTGCGATATATCCGTTGAGAATTATGTGTTTTGAATAGCAACGCAAAGCGGTTCGTTAAAATTGCATGAGAAAATCTGCATATAATACTATTTCAATCTGTGGAAAAGTCTGCTTCTTCTTCTTCTTTTTCTTTTTGCTTCTCCTTCCCTTTTTTCTCCATATGAAAGCCCGTGTTTCGGAAACACGTGATATTTTTTATGTTTTTCTTTCTAATCCCTAAATTTCCCATCCAATTCGTTGTAATGAACTCTAAATGCCAACTTTCCTCGCGAAAAAAAACGAAACATTTCCCAGCTGCACTTCGTTAACTCGTCAATTTAGACGATGTTGGAGTATTTTACGTTGCGCAGAAAGTGTTTTATGGCAGGCTTTCAAAGGCATTGACTCCGTACTTCAATGGCATAAACATGGCATGCAAAATAATCGCGTGTTTGCCGAACATAAAACCGATATAATAAACGTTCGCAATATTAAAATTGAAAATTGACAAATTAATAATGAAGAAAAAAGAGCCAAAGGCCTGGTTTTTGCCATTGGCTACATTACCATTTCACGTTATCTCCGTTCGTATTTCCGTTGAGTAATAATGGTTTTTGTGTGCATAATGACTTCATTTTTGTTATGGGAAAAAGAGCGAGAGAGAAAAATAAAGCGGTGACAGCTTTGCAATTGAAATGAATGACCTTTGCCGGGATGTCGGCGTGTTTGCATTGAAAATGGTTTGGTTCGTTCGCTTGCAATGAGTTGCAAAAGTTAGAAAATGCGGTCATTGCAGAAATAACCAATTGAATGTTGAGCTAAAACCATTTCTTTAGCTTTAACGTATGCTCGCCGAGCATTGCTCGGTCGCTGGGTTTTGTTGGAGTGGGAAAAGGAGAGTGGAAGAGATAGAGTAAGAGTGAGTGACTGAGTGAGAAGGAAAGGGAACGGGAGAGAGATGAGAAGAGATGTAATGATAAAAAAGAAAGAAAGAGAAACAGAGACGAGCCAACGAAGAAGCAGCTTCGGTTTTTGTGTTCGTTTGCTCGAGTGTTTTAAAATTATGTGCAAACTCATCGAGACCAAGTATCATCACCATTCATCATTACAAGTGGCTGCGAGTCTTCAGCAGGAAAAAAAAAACAAACCGATGAGGATTTATTTAATTTCCATCGTTTGGTTTTCTGGCGTGCCACCTCGTTCACTCTTCACACACACTCTATCGCCACTTTGGCACACTCTCGTTCACGTGTCCATCTCGGGCGGAAATAAAATGAATCCAGATTGCAATTGGATATTGTGCCAGCGAGACACAATAGCGATGATAAACAATAGATATATGCATGTGGCGCGCGCAATGCGATAAATACAATGCAATAATGAATGGACTGTCGCTCGGAGAACAATGAAGAGGATCAAAATGAAGAGGATGAGAGCATAAAAGTTATTCCATCCATCTGCACAGTAGCAGCAGCGAGCAACAGAAAAAAAAGCGAATGTGTCAGGATGCAAAAAAAACCGTTAGCGTTATTTTTACATTTATTCCCATGATCTGTTGCATTATGATGACGATTGTCTTTTGTTCCCTTGTTGGTTCTGGATTTTGTTGTTGTTGTTTTGTATTCGTTATTGTTCCAAGATTTGCGATGCACTTATGCGACCTTGCCATGTAACTTGTTGGATTTTTGATGAATGTTACTGTGATGCATGACTCATATGATCACTTGGCTGGTGCACAGCCCACATCCATTACCCCAGTGCGTATCAAATCATTTATCTGTAGACATTTTTTTTTGCCGTTCGCGAGATCCCTCTCTGCTTTTTCTTTCTCAGTCAATTGTGTTCGCGTCATTCTTTTTGTCGAAATGAAGATGAATGACTGCACTTGAGCACTCGCGCTTTGTCTGATGACAAAACGCGCTTTGATATGCAAAAAACACACGCGCGCGCTTACATTTCAGCTGGCATTTTGAATTGAGTCACTGAACAAAAATTACTTTGGATAAGGTCATGATTTCAAAGGAAACATTTTTTTTCTTCGGCTCAAAAACTCTCTCAGTTCAAATTAACATTTAAAGAATGCGACGTTTTCAAAACGTCGACAATAAGAATTACCATTGAGACAGACAGCAATTTAAAATGTTGCTGCCGCTTCTGTTGCTACTACTGAACTAAACGAACACTCCAATTTCGTTAATGAACCCCTTTGCGCGAGGCGAAGACACGGAAAATTGCGTTTTTTTTCTTCGAACAACATTCGAAAGTTTTCCTGCTTTGTTTTCCAGTCGTGTTCTCTCTTCTATGGCAGAAATGCGATTTTTTCTGTTTGTGTACGATTTTCTCGGTTTTGGTGCGTTTTTCTTTCGGCTTTCGTTATTTTCTTTAGTATTTCTGTTCGTTTTGTCTTGAAATCTTCTTTTCCTGACCTTTTCAATCATTTTAAAGTGACTGTTTCTCTTGATTTTCTTCACGTTTTTTTTTTTGTTAGCTCAGGTTTATTTGTTTTTTTCGCTATTCTTATGGGCAATAATTGCGGAAAAAAGAGTGAACAAAAATGAAAAAAGTGAAAACAATCGAAATAAATGAAAAAAAAAAAATGGGAAAAAAGACAAGAAAAAATAGGGAAGAAAAAGAAGAAAATTGGGGAGAAAACCGAAAAATAGAGAAAAAATGAGGTAAAAAAGGTGATTGGATATTTTCAAATGGAAGAAGAGGGAACAAAATCGATGGAAAATAAAAGAAAATGCAAGAAAGAAGAAACGAAATTGGGAGGTTTGAGGCAAAAAATGCAGTGCGAATAATGAAAATTTTGGCAAAAGATCAAATAAAGCATAAAACAAAGTTTTCAATTAAATAAAATGTCGTGAGTTATCGAATTAAGTGTCTGCGTTCAAGGAGCTTAATATTATTGACTCGATAGCTCATTATTTCAAGTAGCTTTTCAATTCAACTGAGAAAATTGCGTTGAATGAAGTTGATGCGAGTGTTCTTTTAAATCTTTTACAGACTTTGTAACAAAAACTGCACTCCAATTTAAATCACCCACCTCTTTTTTTCCTCCTCTTATCCACAGGCACATGAATTTACAAAATGAATTGGAGAACAATCGTGATGGCACAAATTGTGTAGGTTCGACAATTCTGGCGCCAAACAATGCCAACAATAGTCAAACGACAATCGAAACCGCCAATTTACACAAATCAAACGATGAAAAAAGCGAGCAAAATCCCAAACACGAACAACAACAACGTACCAACGTGATGGAATCAAGTGCAATTGATAGTAAACATGTGAATGCAACAAGTACCAACGATGATGATGACAGTGTAAATATGAGTACAATTGATACGACTGTGATTCGATCCGCAACAGCGGCAGCGGCAGCGGCAGTGCCGTCACCACCACAAAGTGATAAAGATGAAATTCGTGTGAAATGTGGTGCAACCGATGATGATAGTGAAAATAGTAGCTCATCGATTAGTCCAAGTGATACGGTTTTTAAAGTTGCCACCAAACAACACATATCGAAACCGAATCTGGCCAATTTGCATTGTGCAAACGCTGGCCGTTTGAATACACTACCAACGGTTGTACCACTGTCATCACCACCGAATGTGCCCATGTTTTTAAATCGATTTCCCAACACGCATCCCACATATCTTCCGCCACATATCCGTAATTTGCCCAAAACACAATCGCTCGATTTGGCCGACAATGAGATGCCATCGCCGTTATTGTCCAACAGACAAGCCTCATTCGAACAGAATCGACCCATCTACCCGAATGTACCGTACAGCCCGTACGGTAGCCCATTTGGATCGCCACGCAATCGACGCCGTGGACCATTACGTGAATCACGGCGCATTTCCATCGAACAAACTGGCAGCTTCTTGCAACTCAATCAATATAAACTCATGGATCAAATTGGACAGGTGAGAGACATTTTACATGTTTATGATATTGCAAGGTGTGTTTGCTTTTATTGAATTTTGCGTTTACTTCGCTTCTTCTGACACAGGGCTCATATGGTTTGGTGAAATTAGCATATTCCGAAGAGGACTCAACGCATTATGCCATGAAAATTCTGTCGAAACGTAAACTGTTGCGGAAAGCCGGTCTCATGGGACGCGGACCAAAGAAAGGTGTGTCACCACTCGACCGTGTCTATCGGGAAATTGCCGTTTTGAAAAAGGTACGCAATGGTTAGTTTGGAATTTCTGGCGGCAAAATTCATAGTTCATGGAGTCTTTTTGTACATTTTTCATGTTAATTCTTTTTTATTTCGATTTTTAAAAGTTATTTCTGAAGATTTTGCGTGAAATTTCATTGAAAACTAGAAAATAACAATGATTGAACTAAAAAAATGATTGAAAATCGACGTTCTTAACCACCATTTTTTTCATTTGAACAATTTTCCAGTTGGACCATCCGAATGTAGTGAAATTAGTGGAAGTTCTTGATGATCCGTTGGAAGATTCATTGTACTTAGTATTTGAACTTTTGCAATTGGGCGAAGTGCTTAGTGTGCCGACATCAAAACCATTGACAGAAGAACGAGCTTGGTCTGTGTTCCGTGATTCGTTACTTGGACTTGAGTATTGTGAGTACCGCGAATTCAATTTTTTTTCTTCCTCTAAAACATCATCTAACATCATCATCATTTCTTAAGCTTTTAAATAGAGAGCATGCATCCGAATTTTTGTACACTTGAAAAAAATTATCCAGAATGACGAGAATACTCTGATTTCTTTTTAGTGCATTATCAACGCATCATCCACGGTGACATCAAACCGGACAATTTACTGTTGGGCGAATGTGGAAGCGTAAAAATCGCTGATTTAGGTGTTTGCAATGAGTTCTTGGGTGAAGATGCTTCAATGAATAATGGATCAACCGCTGGCACACCTGCGTTCCGCGCACCTGAAACTTTAAACACGGGACAGGTAAGACAATATTGGAATAAAGATTGAGATTTTACTTTTCCGCAAACTTTGTTTGTTAGGTAAAGTATTGGTTTAACTAGCCAAAATTTCACGACATCTCCTCTTTCGGACCACTATAACTTCACGCCAAACTTCAAAAAGCACATATCTGTACACTAGGCAATGTAGATGGGATGAAATCCTATCGATCAAGACCTATCTGCCTCCAAAAACATGTTGTTTACTATGAAAAATGTGCAAAATAGCGATGTGCGTATGGCGTCGTTCGCGTCCGAGTTTTTTGTCCGCCGATTATCTCAAAAAGTTGACAAGATAATTGAGATCTGTAAAAGCCAAAAGTTTTGGCATGTCGAAACAAAGCTTCGGATTGATTTTGAGCCATATCCGATGTGACCTTGGGGTACCTCTCCTAAGAAAAAACCTCAAAAATGGTACATTTGTACGGGAAGTACCCGAAAAAAGCATTTTTCAGGGTTTCGATCAAGGCAAACTGCCATTTTTTGCAAAAATAATGGGAGCCTTCAAACAACCGAACACCTACTTGCCCATAAATTTGGTCCAAAATCAACATTTCTTGAAATTTTCCTTGAAAAATAGACTTTTGTATGAAAAATCACACAGAAAGCCATTTTTTAGGGTTTTAGTCAAGGCAAACTGATGTTTTTTTGCAAAAATAATGGGAGCCTTCAAACAACCGAACACCTACTTGCCCATAAATTTGGTCCAAAATCGACATTTCTTGAAATTTTCCTCGAAAAATAGTCTTTTGTATAAAAAATCACTCAGAAAGCCATTTTTTAGTTTTTTCGTCAAAGCAAACTGATGTTTTTTTAAATCACACAGAAAGCCATTTTTAAGGGTTTTAGTCAAGGCAAACTGATGTTTTTTTGCAAAAATAATGGGCGCCTTCAAACAACCGAACACCTACTTGCCCATAAATTTGGTCCAAAATCGACATTTCTTGAAATTTTCCTCGAAAAATAGTCTTTTGTATAAAAAATCACTCAGAAAGTCATTTTTTAGTGTTTTCGTCAAAGCAAACTGATGTTTTTTTAAATCACACAGAAAGCCATTTTTTAGGGTTTTAGTCAAGGCAAACTGATGTTTTTTTGCAAAAATAATGGGAGCCTTCAAACAACCGAACACCTACTTGCCCATAAATTTGGTCCAAAATCGACATTTCTTGAAATTTTCCTCGAAAAATAGTCTTTTGTATAAAAAATCACTCAGAAAGCCATTTTTTAGTGTTTTCGTCAAAGCAAACTGATGTTTTTTTGCAAAAATAATGGGCGCCTTCAAACAACCGAACACCTACTTGCCCATAAATTTGGTCCGAAATCAACATTTCTTGAAATTTTTGAAATTTTGTTCGAAAATGACACTTTTGTATGGAAAATGGAACTATTTCGATAGTTATATTTTAAGGCCAAAAATGCTATGAAAAAAGGGTCCATTGAAGTTTTGGAAACATTGAGCGGGAGGTAAACTAAATTGCTGCGGAGCGGAAAAGTTTGGATTACGTATGTAATTCGTTTTATTTTTGTTTCAAATTAAAATTGGAGATTTTTTGAATAAGTGTTAAAGTAGACTCGAAATTGACTTGAAACAACAGCTGAGATTATCGCAAATTGTCGGCATTTTCACACTAGCTGTCACCATCTCTCGTTGACGTACGTTACTAGTACTTACTAACTGCTATTAATGCGAGCACACCGCATGTCGCCGTCGAAATCTCTATCCCAAAGCATGGTTTTAATCAATTTTCAAACAAATTCCAAAGAAAATGTTCTCTTTGAGTTAAGAGCAAAGACTTGAGTGGATGATTCTCTTATTAAGAGACGAGCATAAACTTTGAGAGCGAGAGTAATGGAATAGTCGAAGCTTTCTATTTATTCAAATCAATGTAAACTTCCACATTACGTATATTACATTCAAATGTTCTACTGAATCAAATATTGCCATCTTTTGCATTTATTCCTGCAACATCCTTTTGTTTCCATTGGTTTTTTTTCTTCAATTATTTAAAATTCTGAGTAAGAATCGTTCAAAACTTCTACCAAAGGCAACATCTTTCAACTGATCGAGAAACAAAATTGAATTTCAAAATGGGCCCGAAAAGAACTTTGTTATCAAAAGAAATTGCTTTCGATCAAAAGAAACTTCTTGGCGATTAAAAGAACCAACATATTGAAGATGTGAATTGCGAATAGAATTTTCACTTGAAACTTAAAACTTCAAGATGAAACATATTTTTGATGAAATAAGCTCAACATTTTTTCGAATTAAAATTCCATAGAAATTGTTACTAAATCATGGCAAAAGTGAATAAAATCCGGGAAAGTTGTCTTTCATGTCCAAACTGTGTTTTGTTTCTTTTGACGTCATTGCATCTCGATTAAACTTTATTCCATTGAATCTTTTTCCAATTTCATAGAGAAAAATAAAAACTTTTCTCCGTTCAATGTTCCAATATCAAGTAGTGGGTTCGCTTTGAAATCATTGATTTGCTCATATTTTTTTTTACAGTCGCTCGAATATCAAGTCATAATTCGAAAAGAGCGACCATAAAAAATTCAGACCTAAATGTCCTATGATCAAAAACTTTCAATCTACCGAAACGGCGAATGGGCGCAGGCAATCCAGTCGTTATCCCTTTTTCGGTTGTGCTGAAATTTCAAAAGAAAACTCACATGCAGCACGAGTCGCAGCATGAATATACGATTAGAATTCATTTGCTCGTTATTATTACGATTGGTACGTGTTTGTGGGTCGTTTGTAGGCCAATACATGGAACGTGACACGAGCGCGCGTTTGTGGAGTTAGAATCGAGTTCGGAATGTAGTACGTGTGCGTGTGTATTTGCTTGGCTTATGGAGAGAGAGAGAGAGAGAGAGAGAGAGAGAGAGAGAGAGAGAGAGAG